GAGTGAGTGAGTGATTGAGTGAGTGAGTGAGACACTATTGCTATATCTCAGTGAGAGCGTGAGTGAGTCACTATTGCTATATCTGAGTGAGTGAGTGAGTGAGTGAGACAGCGAGCGAGTGAGTGAGTGAGTGAGACGGTGAGTGAGTGAGACAGCGAGCGAGTGAGTGAGTGAGTAAATGTGAGTGAGTGAGTGAGAGCATGAGTGAGTCACTATTGCTATTTCTCAGTGAGTGAGTGAGACAGCGAGTGAGTGAGTGACTGAGTGAGTGATTGAGCGAGTGAGTCGCTATTGCTATATCTCAGTGAGTGTGTGAGTGAGTGATTGAGCGAGTGAGTGAGGGAGTGAGACAGTGAGTGAGTAAGACAGTGAGTGAGACAGCAAGCGAGTGAGTGAGTGAGACAGCGAGCGAGTGAGTGAGTGAGTGAGTGAGTGAGTCACTATTGCTATATCTGAGTGAGTAAGTGAGACGGCGAGCAAGCAAGTGAGTGAGTGAGTGAGTGAGACAGTGAGCGAGCGAGTGAGTGAGTGAGACGGTGAGTGAGTGAGTGAGTGAGTGAGTAAATGTGAGTGAGTGAGTGAGTGAGACAGCGAGTGAGTGAGTGAGTGAGTGAGTCACTATTGCTATATCTGAGTAAGTGAGACAGCGAGCAAGCAAGTGAGTGAGTGAGTGAGTGAGACAGTGAGCGAGCGAGTGAGTGAGTGAGAGAGACGGTGAGTGAGTGAGACAGTGAGTGAGTGAGTGAGTGAGTGAGTGAGTCACTATTGCTATATCTGAGTGAGTAAGTGAGACAGCGAGCAAGCAAGTGAGTGAGTGAGTGAGTGAGACAGTGAGCGAGCGAGTGAGTGAGTGAGAGAGACGGTGAGTGAGTGAGACAGTGAGTGAGTAAATGTGAGTGAGTGAGTGAGAGCATGAGTGAGTGAGTCACTATTGCTATTTCTCAATGAGTGAGAAAGTGAGTGAGTGAGTGTATGTGTGAGCGACCGAGCGAGCGAGCAGTTCAGGTATTCCCTGCGTTGTCAGGACCAAACGAGAATAGTAATATCAGAAAATGTTGATCTTGTGTCGATATTTTTTGGTCTCAATGAGAAAAAACAGCTTATAAATCATACTTTTCACTCACATGCATCTAAGCTGCGTTTTTATATTTTGTAAAGCAATGTTCCATGTGCAGAATCATTTTTCCATGATTAGTGTTTGTACACGAAAAACATGTTTCTCTGGATGGAAACAAGGAAAAACAAATAAGACACACACAATCTCTCTATTCTTTTTGTGCTTTGTTTTCACAATGATACTGAATCTCAATAGCACTTTCTGTGGTTTCGGGATGTGTGTGTTGTATGCGGTTTGGCTGGTGTTCTGTTCATTGATGTCTTACACACAGACAGATTGCTGTAGTTATTAGTAGATCTCTATTTGAGCAGCAAGGACTCCAGCTGTCCCAGAATGCCACACTTCATTGAGTTAAGTGTGTCTGTTTCCTGCACAAATCAACATACGGCACATAATAGAGTTGTACTATGCCAGAGAAAACACACACACACACACACACATTTTGAGGTCTGGAATGGTTTAGTTTGACACTGATGACAGGAATATTTCCATGTTGATTTGTTCCCTGTTCTCTGTTCTCTCTTTTTTCCCTATGTATTTAAACAAAAAGTGTGTGATTTCTGTGCCACTCGTCTTTAAACAGAATTGCAAAAACAGTGACTCCCCTCGTCTCCCATTGGTTGGTTAAACCATTAGCCCCGCCCCAAACTCACGCCTTTAGTTGAGTCAGTGTTGCTGCATTGTAAAAAAAAAATTTTCATGATTTATCACAACTTTTTACCTTTTGTCAAATCAACTTAGATAAATAATGTGCTTCAGATAACATAATATTATGAATTTGTATTTATTAAACCAATCTCCTGCATTGTATTAACTCAAATTTGTAATTTCAATGAACTCAAAGTTTTAAGGCTTACTTTTTTAACCCCTTAACTGTCACCGTTCCGGTACCGGGACGCCTAACTTTACTTCACTATATTTCTATTAAATCCTAATCTAATTATGACAAATTGTATATTGTTGGAAAGGTCTAAGACTTCTAAATAGATATTCTACCCCTGTTTTGTGTTAAAAATTATGTAGGAAGAGTAATTGATGAATTTATGACAAGAGTGCACCTCAAAAAATCTGCTTCATAACAGGAGTTTTGACCTTTGTCACAAAAAGTTGATGAACCCAATTTTAATCATTGAAACTTCTGTTTTTATGCTAAAAGTTCATAATAAACATATAATCTAGTATTTTTCAAGAAAAAATAAAAAAATTACAGTACAATATTATCCTCTAAAAATGATAATATTTATATTTATTATCCTCTAAAATATAATATTATTTTTTATCGCCTTTTTTATTATATCACATATTTTAGTAGTTATCATAAATTAGGTATCATTTGAAAGCTTATAAACTCAGAATTCTTCGTTTGAAAGCTGTTTTATAATTGAAAGTTGCGTTACCATAGAAACGGTACTTATTTTATCAGGCTCCTCCCCTTTTGGACATCATTATATTTCATAATTTATGATCAAAACCTTTTCTAATCTTGACAAAACTGATATTGTCAGAAAGTCAGAGTCTCAAGGTTCCAAATTGTGTGACAGAATTGATATTTTGACAGAAATTTATTAATTTGTTAAGGCAGAATGTATACAACTAAATTCAATGGAATTCAATGGCACCCGGTGGCTATTTTTGGTACTATGCCTAAACAAAATCTCATGGGAACTTCAATTTTTGTGATATCAACTTCAAATTTGGAACATAACTTGATAAGATGTATGGCCTTTATTTTATAGAAATTTTAGAGTAAAAAATATTTTATAAAATATATATTTTATATAAAATAAAAAATATATAGTACAGTATATTTAATTTACTGTAAATTTAAACTTCCATAACTTTTTCATACTTTCATTTTTTTAAGTGTTTTCACTTCAGCAATAATCTGCTGAGTGTTTTCTTTAAAACACAACCAAACTTGGATATATATTCCAAAGCATTCTTGAATTATTTGTCATTCTGTGCTTTCCTGTCTATTCTCAATACTCTCCTTTCTAATAAAAGCAAAGACACCCACATGTCTCACATGTCATTAAAATACTTTCAGAGAAATAAAAATAGATTCAAATTGGCTGGCATACAGTATAGAGCTATAAATTTGATGCATAACCCCATTTGGACTTTGGTCTTGAATTTGATGACACATTTCTGAAATCGTGTAGAGTCTCGGCAAATCTGAGCACATTTTGAGATTTTTTTCTGAAACTAGACTTATATTTGAGGATTTAATTTCTGATTATTTTTTCTTTAAACACACACACACACACATATATACATAAGCTCACATGTGCCTCAAATTACCCTCAATCAGTGAGTGGACTGTAATTGCTCCAGGGGCATTACAATCACACACACACACCGAGAGAAAGAGTGATTATTGTGTCAGTCCTTTAGTTCGACCTCCCTCAGAGAAAGTGTGTGTGCACGTGCAGAATAACTCTGTCATCATCAGTAACTGGCACTAGAGAGAGAGAGAGAGAGAGTCCTCAGGCTGTTTCCAGACTCTCTAGAGTTGAACTGAAAACTGCTTCGCTAAATTTGGTGCCATGTTTACTTAGAGAGGGTTTAAAATAAATGATGTGTGTTACTGGAACTGTGTGTGTGTGTGTGTGTGTGTGTGTGTGTGTGTGCGCAGAAACCAGACCTCTCTGCCATTGGCAGCATGTTAAGGGGTGTAAGCAGCAAATATGTTATGTTATTTAATTTATATTGTTTCCATTCAATTATTTAATTTTATAGTTATGTATAATAATATGTTATATATAGGGCTGTCAAGCGATTAATCGCGATTAATCACATCCAAAATAAAAGTTTTTGTTTACATAATATATGTGGGTGCACTGTGTATAATTATTATATATATATAAATACACACACATGCTTGTATATATTTAAAAAAATATTTTCATGTACTGTATATAGATTTATATATAATTTATTTTATATGTAAATATATAAATAATATTTGTTTTCTTAAATATACATGCATGTGTGCGTATTTATATATATGTATTTATATATATACAAAATAATTATACACACTGCACCCACATATATTATGTGAACACAAACTTTTATTTTAAATGCGATTAATCGCGATTAATCGTTTGACAGCCCTAGTAATATATGATATAGTACTGTACACTACCGTTCAAACCTTTGAGGTCATTAAAAAATAAAATAATTTAAAGCAATGAATACTTTTAGTCAGCAAAGACTACTAAAACAAAAGTTACAGTAAATTCATTTATAATGTTACAAAATATTTCTATTTAAAATAGCTATTTTGAACTTCCTATTCATCAATGGATCAGTTTCCACAAAAATATAACGCAAGATAATACATAACATAGATAATAATCAGAAATTGTATTTTTTTTAAAGCTCTATCTAGGCCAATATTCCCTCAATTGGTCCTGTTTTTAGATGAACTCCTAACAAAAAGTTATCATATGTAATTTGTTTTTGTCAGATATGAACCAGGACATTTAATGTGGCCCGTAATGACTAACTCACTAGAGTTTTATGAGCGTAAAACATCACAAAACTCAGCCTGCCAAATGTAAAACACGTGCCAAATGCAATCAAATTCCAGTGATAGAGTCACTATAATTTAAACAAATCCTTACAACACAACTGGGATTTCAGGAAGTTTATATTCCCCAGTATCTATGGGATCTTATCTTTCAAATTAGCCAATTTGGGGTCATTTTGTCCACTCTTCCAATTTTAGACCCTGATGATTTACTGTATTTTCCATTTGTTTCACTGAACAAAGACACTCTTGTCGGATGTACACGTGATCGGAGGGAATGGTGTCTCTAATGCATTGTTAGTGTGTGTGTAAGGTGATTTATGAGTAGAAATATGTTTTTCTCTGCAGTCCCAAAGAAACTCGTGCAGGAGTCGGTTTCCAGGCATCCGTCGTTCCCCTCTCCCCCATCAGTGCCTCATGACCCCAACGTGGTGGGAGACAGCGCCCCTCCTGACGGGACCCCGTCTCTGACCTCGGACTCCGCGCCAGGTGAGAAGCAAACCATGATCACTGAACCTAAACACACACAACCTCAGCAGAAGTTCTGACTGGAATCACACACACTTTCTGTGTACAGATGCGGATAGTTGCCGTTGCTACCGCCGTGTTTTGACTGGCCTACAGATAAAATACCCACAATGCATTTCCTGTGAGCAGAGACTGTAAAAACAAATTTAAGAAGCTTTTAATTTGAGCTTTGTTTAGATGACTTTTTGAAAGAAAAGGTAAAGACACTCTGTTAATGTATTAACCCTCTGGGGACTAAGCCCTTTTTGGTCCTTTTTCTCTATTTTTACGTTTGGGCTTATAAACTATATGTAATGGAGATGGAACACTACTGTATGTGTTTGGTATCTATGGATTCAGAAAACCCTAAGCTAACATAAGCAAACATGTAATGTGTTTATAAAGGAAGTATGACTGAAAAATGTACAATATACTAGAGAATTTAAAAAACGGAAATTCGACTTCTGAAAATCACACATCACACAACAATAGTGAACAGTTTTTGAACAAAAAATATATTTGTCAAAGCCTTTGCTTAACAGACATTTGTAATTGTTAAATAAAATGTGTAAAGAACAATGAAAAATTTAACTTATTAGAGTTAGACTTATCTAACTTATATAATTCACTTTCACTGTGTGGAAAATGGGAAAAAGAGAATTTCATTCTCATCCATATAGCGACCAGCATCAAGCTTTCAAAAAAGATGCAAAAGTATCACAGAATGAGCCATATGTTCGACATTTTCTGTGGGTATTCGATAGGATTTGGTAAAAACGAATGGAAATATAATGTATTATTTAACGAAAATCCCGCGCACACACATGTTGATGAATTATTGATGTAAATCCAACTTATTCTTTTGTTTATTCCCAGACATAAAAGCTTGGGGCGTTTTAACCAACCATAGAAATATAAACTTTCTGTTTGTGTAACGATCTCATGATGATGATGATCGTGTGCATTTGATGGCAGGGAGGTCGACACGAGGCCGGAGTTCTGGTCCGTTTTCGGAAGAGCCGGATCCGTCTGGAGAAAGCGATCCGAACCCAACCGTCTCCAGCGTGATCAGACCAGACATGACTCTCATCAGCAGCATGCTGACGGCCTACACCTACATCACAGGTACAACACACACATCCGAGGTTGATCTCTGAATGAAAGCACTCGACAACTCTATAGATAAACTCTATATATATATTCATTATTGAGTAGTCAGCAGGATCTCGTTCTTAACTGTCACTGTCCCCGTACGGGACGCCTAACTTTACTAAACTATATTTCTATTAAATTATGATAAATTATATATAATTGGAAAGATCTAAGACTTCTAAATAGATATTCTACCCCTGTTTTGTGCTACACATTATGTAGGAAGAGTAATTGATGAATTTATGACCTCAAAGAATCTCCATCATAACAGGAGGTCTGACCTTTTTTCACAAAAATCGATGCACTTTTAATCATTGAAACTTGTGTTTTTATGCTAAAAGTTCATAATAAAACATATAATCCAGTATTTTTCAATAAAAAATTATAGGATAATATTATCCTCTAAAAATCATAATATATATATATAATCGTCTAAAATGTTATATATAATAATATTAATTTTATTATATCACATATTTTAGTAGTTATCATGAATTAGGTATCATTTGAAAGCTTATAAACTCAGAATTCATCTTGTGAAAACCGTTTTATAATTGAACTTGCGTTACCATAGAAACGGTACTTATTTTATCAGGCTCCTCCCCTTTTCGGCATCATTATATTTCAAAATTTTCTAATCTTGACAAAATACATATTGTCAGAAAGGTCTGTGTCTCAAGGTTCCAAATTTTGTGACAGAAGTGATATTTGGACAGAAATTTATTAATTTGTTAAGGCAGAATGTATACAACTAAATTCAATGGAATTCAATGGCACCCGGTGGTTATTTTAGGTACTACGCCTAAACAAAATCTCATGGAAACTTAAATTTTTTTGATATCAACTTCAAATTTGGAACATAACTTGGTTATATTTATGATGTCTTTGATTTTATAGTAATTTTAGAGTAAAAAATATTTAGTAAAATATATATTTTATATAAAAAAAATATACAGTACAGTATATTTGATTTAATGTAAATTTAAACTTTCATACTTTCATTTTTTGAAGTGTTTTCACTTCAGCAATAATCTGCTGAGTGTTTCCTTTAAAACAAGACCAAACTTGGGTATATTCCCAAAGCATTCTTGAATTAGAACCATTTAAGTTTAAATAGTGCATTTTAACCCCCATTCTCAAAAAGGGGGTGACAATGAAGGGGTTAAGGAATTACAAATGTGTTTTTCACTCTGACTTCAGTGCCACATGATCCTTCTGAACTCATTCTTATACGATGATTTCTGATTATTATCAATGTTGAAAACAGTTGTGCTGTTTAATATTTCGTTGAATCAAACCTGTATTAGTTTATCTGTTGAACACAAAATAAGATATTTGAAAGAATATTGTAACAGACAGTTGACGGTAGCCATTGACTTCCATTGTATTTTTTTCCTACTATGGAAGTATAATCAACTTTTTGATTACTCAACAGAAGAAAGAAACTCTTACAGATTTGAGAGTGAGCAAATGATGACAGAATTAAACAATTTTTGAGTGAACTATCCCTTTAAGAAACAAATTTTTTGCATTTTGCTTCCATGTTGTCTTGAAAAGTGTTTTCTCTCTCTCCATCACAGAGCACCCAGAGGGATGCGCGCTGTTTTTCATGTGCGGTGTGTGTGCGGGTCTGTTCCTCACACTCTTCGCGCTGGTGGTTCAGATTTCCTGCCGTACAGACTGTAAACGCCATCGCAGCGTCGCTAAGAAGCGGCCGAGACCCGCGGACTCCGCCAGCGACAGCAGCGACTCTGATTCGGACTGGGACTCGAGCTCAGACCTGTCGGCCCGCCGGCACCGGCGCTTCGAGCGCACGCTCAACACCAACATCTTCACGTCGGCGGAGGAGCTGGAGCGAGCGCAGCGGCTGGAGGAGAGAGAGCGGATCATACGGGAAATCTGGATGAACGGACAGCCCGACGTCCCGGGAACGCGTAGCTTGAATCGCTACTATTAGATCCGGATGTGAAGCTACTATTCTGAACGCTGAAATGTTTGCCACGCGTGGCATTAAACTACACATTTCCTTTGCAGTGGAAATAAGCTCTTGGTTGCGGCGTGATTTATCCGCAACCTTCGCTATGCAGAGGTGAAAGGTCAAATGCTGCGTTCCCACCAGTCGCATGTGGAAATATTCCTACTTGATGTCCATCATCTCGCAGTTTTTGAATTCACCCAAGTTGGAAGTGTCGTTCCGCTGAACTTCCAAGTAGGAAGTTGGACATTCCAGTTTTTAGTGCAGCTGAAGCTAAGGCTCATGGGAGATGTAGTTCACTTGAGTCTATAGGCAGCTCTGAGAGGTGTGATTAGCTCTAAGCACTGTGATTGGTTCTTCACTCTGCCTGTCAAACAGTGAGGACCGCCTTCTGCGCGGAGAGGCGTCAACAAATTAAGTGCCTTGCAGTTTGATCCGACAAAATACACATACAGTGGGACTAAAACGTATTTGGACACTCACACATATCTAAATGTCATTGCATTAGCAAACAAAGAACAAGCCAGGCTGCATTTCCAAGTAAATGATGCAAGAGCTTCACTTTTCTGCATCACAATGCATTGTTCGGTAACACTTTACAAAAAGGTTCCATTTGTTAACATGAACTAACAATGAAATACTTATTAATCTTATTATTCAAATAATTGAATGAAAACTGTATTTTATTTAATGAGAAAAAAATCTGTTATGGAGCTAATATGAATTAGCAATGAACATACTTTAACATAAATAATAAATACTTTAACATGTATTGCAAATTATTAGTTCATTTTAGTCAATGCGTGAGACCTTGTTGGAAAGTGTTACCCATATTTCATCTTTATCACTAGATAATTAAATCATCTATCATATTTTTTATGTTTTCAACCAAGAGCAACTTGGTTTGATATTTTACTTTCAAATGCAATGACATTTGTACATTTTTAAGGTGACTTAAGTGTCCATATATACATGAAATTATTTTATATTTAAAAAGTTTTTGATACCACTATTTTTTTTTTTGGATGAATTATTTTTATACTGATTGCTCAGGGATGCAATCCAAGTGTTCTGTGTATAATCTGTTCTTAAAGTGGACGAGACATTCAGATGTTCCTGCATATATGCAACCGTAGCCTCAAAGAGGTTCTTATAGGAACGTGATGACAACACAAAACACAGTTAATCACTCCATGACTTTATTCAACGCTTTCTGTGTGTTACGACTGTGTTTCAGTTACTGTTACATGACATACTAAACCATCAATAACTTGCTTTACGTTCTTAAAAATAAAGGTTTTGTAAAAAAAAAAAAAAAAAAAAGTCCTACAGGTAGATAGACTACCATTTACATTTCCTTTACTCAAAATGTATTGCACCTGAAAATGAAATTTCCAGCTTAAACCTTCAATTCTTTGGAGCTTAGATTTAAGTTTGGAAAAAAAAGTGAACTTAAAGTTATAGAATTTTACATTTATTGTTATAAAAAATGCATATAAATAGTATTTTCAATTTTTATATGAATTATATATTTTCCAACACACGTTTACTCTAAAACTGTGATTAAATCAAAGCCATATATCTAAACAATCTGGGTTTCAAATTTGAGGTTAAAAAAAAAGAGCTTTCAGCAAGATTTTGTTTGAGCACAGTACCAAACGCTTCCACTAGAGGAAATTCGAAATGCGTTAATTTTTATTGTGAATAATACAAGTGTGACTATTTTTTTAGGACCATTGAACCTTTTCGAGTCCTGTTCATGATTTTTTGTGTGCGTGTTCACATAGCAAGTGCCAAAACCTTAAGCAAGTTTCGCAAAAATAAAAAATCGAAAAAACGTAAAATCTTTCGGTCAAAAATGCCTGAAGAGCACCAGAGGGTTGTTAATAATCTCAGAAATTGAATGTTATATCCAAAGTGATTTAGGCCCCACAGAAAAAGTCAAAACAAAATGTCGTCAAGAACTTAGCAAATGGTAAAAAAATAAATAAATAAAAAAAGTATAAAAACAAATACTAAAGATAAAAAAATTAAATAAGACATTTGATTGAAATTTTAAGATAAATTGACATTTTCAGCAATACCTAAAATTAGGGATCCCTAACTATTGTTAAAAAAATATGACCAATTTTAATACATTGATAAGATTCTGACAAAGCATTATAGCAAGTCCTATGAGTCTGGTCACCGTCCTCTCGCTGAAACCTTTATTTTCAGGAGCCCCTGCCCACACAGCGTTCATTTTATAAGTAATATTTACAGTTTTTATTCTCTTGACACTCGAACCAAGCCAAAACATGAAGTGACTCAACATTTGTATGCATGTGGATTGTTTGTTTGCACCTGAGCTCTTAAATCGTGTACAGCAGCAGGATGTTTGCGTTGTACACCATCACAGACCTGTTTGTTTACTGCTGTTGTTTATTTTGCAGTAATATTTCAGCATGGCTTTCATAGGAATATCAGCTCATGTACAGAGCGGGACCTGTGCCGGTGCTTTAAATAAACTGAATTGAATAAACTGAACTTATAGCGCCACCTGTTGGTGAATGATTCACATTGTGCATGAAAGGAATTGTTTACATCACCATGACAACTGCCAGTGTCTGTGGTCTCCATGGAGGCAGATATAACCTCCTCAGGGAAGAGCAGCAGTTCCCGTGAGAGAACAAGTTATATTAACTTATTTTGGTTACTTGCCTTTTAATATAGATTAGAGTAATTAGCCATAATGTCTATAAATACAACTCACGGGCTTCCTTTCCTGCCAGGCAACACTTTTCGCAATTTAACGGTGAGAAACTTTTGACCTTTAGCACATATTAACGTATTAGCTGTCTTGTTTTCTTTTGTAAAATCTAATTCTGCATTTTTAAATCTTTTTATAAATGTTCCGTAATGCAATTAGATAGACTGATATTATTTTTTATATTACCTATTATTTCTGTACGCTGTTATTATTCAGAAATCCGCTTTCCACCGAGCTCAGACTCTTGATTTTAAGAACGGTTATGCTCTGCCCCGGCGGCCCGCGGTCGGTACAGGACAAGAGCCTCTTCTGTCGGTAAACATCAGTCACAGTGAGAGGAACCAGCTGGTCAATGACATCCCGAACCTGACCTACGGTACAGACACACACCGACACCCACCGCTACAATACGTACCGGCATACGCTGCTTATGACAAGAAGGTAAAGAGGCATCTATCTATCTATCTATCTATCTATCTATCTATCTATCTATCTATCTATCTATCTATCTATCTATCTATCTATCTATCTATCTATCTATCTGTGTCTATCTATTTATCTATCTATCGTTATCTATCTAGGCTATCTCTCTATGTATGCATCTATATATATGCACCTATCTATCTATCTATCTATCTATCTATCTATCTATCTATCTATCTATCTATCTATCTATCTATCTATCTATCTATCTATCTATCTATCTATCTATGTATCTATCTATCTATCTATCTATCTATCTATGTTATGTATCTATCTGTGTCTATCTATCTATCTATCTATCTATCTATCTATCTAACGTTATCTATCTATCTATCTATCTATTTATGCATCTATCTATCTATCCATCCATCCATCCATCCTCCATCCGTTGAAATAGAACCAACCTCTCACTTTTACTCTTTGTCTTCCAGGTTCTGCGTTTTTACGGTTTCTTCCGGCAGGAAGTGTTGCACTCCCCAGATGAGCACTTTCGCATTCGTCCGGTGGTGATTTATTATCACTTGGAAGATGACAGCATGCGTGTGATCGAGCCACCGGTGGAAAACTCGGGTATTCCACAGGGAAAACTGATCAAACGCCAGAGGCTGGTCAAAAACCAGCGTGGAGATCTTTACCATTGGAAAGACCTTAATGTTGGGATGGACATGAGTCTGTTTGGGATAGACTACAGGATAACGCAGTGCGATGCCTTTACACGGGTACACACACACACTCTGTCTCTATAGACTGCTGCTACTGATGGTTAGGTTTGACTGAGCGTGTGTGTATGTATGTGTATGTGTGTGTGTAGGACTTCCTGGAGAGTCAGGGAATAGTACTAAATGAGTCGGAGTCCATTCCCAGTGACCCGTACACCATCCGCCGCATTCAGACACAACAAACTCACATCACACCCTACGAACACAATCATCAGCTGGAGCGGTTCCTTGCCCTGGATCGACAGGTAAACAAACACACACACTCCTGTGTGTTCGCCCACACGTCAGTTAATTGTCAGACTCATCATTTCTGTGTGGTTACTTCCAGGTGCTGCGCTTCTTTGCGCTTTGGGACGACTCGGACTCTCTGCATGGAGAGAAACGGCCTGTAACGCTGCATTACTATCTCGTGGATGATTCTGTTGAGATCTGTGAGCATCACGAGGCCAGCAGCGGCCGGGACCCGTTCCCAGTTCTGCTCCGCAGACAGAGGGTTCCCAAACACATCAAACCAGCCTGTGGTGAGGCCATTAACACACACAAGTCAAGACACATTCATCTGAATAGCGCTTTTCACAATACACATTACAGCATCCATCCATTCATCTATTGATACTTACACTCTCAGAAAAAAAGGTACAAAAGCTGTCACTGGGGCTGTACCTTTTAAAAAGGTTAACTTTTTCCATTTTAGGTGCTAATATGTACATTTTAGGTGCTATTAAGTACATTTAGGTGCTAATATAAATACATTTTAGGTGCTATTATGGAAGTTTTAGGTGCTAAAATGAATATTTTAGGTGCTAATGTGTATATTTTAGGTGCTATTATGTACATTTAGGTGCTAATATGTACATTTTAGGTGCTATTATGTACGCTTTAGGTGCTAATGTGTACATTGTAGGTGCTATTATGTACATTTAGGTGTTAATATGTACATTTTAGGTGCTATTAAGTACATTTAGGTGCTAATATAAATATATACAGTTTAGGTGCTATTATGGAAGTTTTAGGTGCTAAAATGAATATTTTAGGTGCTAATGTGTATATTTTAGGTGCTATTATGTACATTTAGGTGCTAATATGTACATTTTAGGTGCTATTATGTACGTTTTAGGTGCTAATGTGTACATTGTAGGTGCTATTATGTACATTTAGGTGTTAATATGTACATTTTAGGTGCTATTAAGTACATTTAGGTGCTAATATAAATATATACATTTTAGGTGCTATTAAGGAAGTTTTAGATGCTAAAATGAATATTTTAGGTGCTAATGTGTATATTTTAGGTGCTATTATGTACATTTAGGTGCTAATATGTACATTTTAGGTGCTATTATGTACGTTTTAGGTGCTAATGTGTACATTGTAGGTGCTATTATGTACATTTAGGTGTTAATATGTACATTTTAGGTGCTATTAAGTACATTTAGGTGCTAATATAAATATATACATTTTAGGTGCTATTATGGAAGTTTTATGTGCTAAAATGAATATTTTAGGTGCTAATGTGTATATTTTAGGTGCTAAGTACATTTAGGTGCTAATATGTACATTTTAGGTGCTATTATGTACGTTTTAGGTGCTAATGTGTACATTGTAGGTGCTATTATGTACATTTTGGCATTAATATGTACATTTTAGCTGCTATTATGTACATTTAGGTGCTAATATGTACATTTTAGGTGCTATTATGTACGTTTTAGGTGCCAATATGAATATTTTAGGTGCTAATGTGTATATTTTAGGTGCTATTATGTACATTTAGGCGTTAATATGTACATTTTAGGTGCTATTATGTATATTTAGGTGCTAATATGTACGTTTCAGGTGCTAATATGAATATTTTAGGTGCTAATGTGTATATTTTAGGTGCTATTATGTACATTTAGGTGCTAAAATGTACCATTAAGGTGCCAATATGCACCCTTTAGGTACAAAAGTGTACCTTTTGAAAAGGTACAGCCCCAGTGACAGCTTTTGGACATTTTTTTCTGAGAGTGTATAGACGTTATGTAGCCCCGCCCCTTTTCAGCTCTGCGCTCGTTGTCTGTTGACTTCCGGTCTGTATTTTCACAGCAATCTTGCATAGGTATGAATGAACTGCTCGTAAAAAATTTCCTGGTCGACATCCGCTTTACAATGTTTATGATAAACATTACAATGCTCATGATGACTTTTGTTAACTCTACAATAAGTAAATCCACCTCACCAGCTAATTACTCCTCGACAGCGATGCAATAGAAATATACAGAGAGACCGCAAAAACGGAAGTTCAAAGACAATATTCTAAAGATGACGGAGCCCACGTTTCTGGGGTGCATAACGTCTATACATCCAACTTTATTTAAAGAGCTGGGCAATAATATAGTCACATTTTGTGACAAAAAAAAAGAAATGTAGTTGATATTTGCTTTAAAGTCCTACTACTAAATGTCTTACTAGCTCACAGCATCGCATCTCATATGTATTGGCTGAAGCAGTTCCTATACTTGCTCTGAAGCAGCAGCAGCAATAACAGCAGCAGATCTATTTCCATAGATAACATATCAACACTGTCATATCCATTACCATGCCAAACACTCATAGAGGTGTCACGGCCGAAATATAGTTTACAAAACTAATTTTAACCTGCTTCAGTTTTGTTGCTTTTTATGTTTATAGAAGTTTGCACACAATAAATGACTGAATTCATATTTCACATAACTCAATTAAAGAATCCCGAAACATCTCTCTTTTTTGACTCAGAGCCATTCCCCAGCAGTGTTCTGGAAGTTTCCCCTCATGATGTGGAGGAGTATTTCTCTCCTCAAGACTTCAGGGTCGGTGAGGAGGTCCTGCTGATGGGGAGGCGCTTCCTGTTGTATGACTGTGACAACTTCACTCGGAAATACTTTCAGCAGAATCACCCTGACATCTTGCTAAAACCGTTTACTGTTGACACTGGGACACCGCAAGAGATCAAGAAGGTCAGATACATTCTCGCGATTGGGCTAATCCCATCTGAAAGTTCAATTACAGTATATTGTGATACATCAGGCACTTTCCATTGATCGGGTTCACGCATGTTCTATGTTTGCACCACAGTCGTCTTGGACTATTCTGACATATAGTGGTGTGAATGAAGCATCGCGCAAATCGCGCAATTAGTGATGCCATTGCAGAAATACAGCATTCAGAGTCAGCAGCTTTGATTAATGCATTATGCCACTCATCTTTTCAGCAAATGTTCTTCTTTAAAAAATAAAAGTTTATTATTAACTAAAGAAAATATGAACAAAATAAAAAATTATTTTTTCATGTTTGTACATTTTTAGAATATAACAAAATGTTCCAAATAAATGGTACTTTTTTCTTTTTTTTTTTGCTTAAAGCTACACTGTGTGATTTTTACCCCCATCTAGTGGTGAAAAGGTGTATGACCATCCAGTGAATATTAGTTTCTGTTCCTCTCAATTCTGATTTCGTTTTAACTCCTACGGTGGCCAATGTAGTCCAAGATTAACATGGCTTCTAGTTCGACCTCGTCCGTGAGTGTTAACTCAAATGTAAACGCGAAAGGCGAAGCTTGAATTAACGGGTATGTCCCTCTTTGGCTAATGTACTTTCAAGATGGAGGGGAAACATGGCGACCGACATTAGAACCCCTTACTCGTATGTGTTTTCAATGGCATATTATACACTCACGAGAATACTTTATTACTTGAACGAAGTAAATATACATTAATGAGCACACATATTTTTGAAAGAACGTGAAGAAAGTGTTTTTAGCTAAGAATAAACTAAAAGAGTTAAACAGTGTAGCTTTAAGTGCTAATTAATTACTGAAAAATACACAAAAAGGCCAATTTTGTACCCTATTCAATTTTCTATCCAGACTGTTTTTTAGGTAAATTATGTGCTTCATTATCCTTCCCTCCATCTCGTCATCCATATAACAAACGCATGATTTTTATTTCCGTGATGTGTCATGTTGTCATACAGGTAATTCCTCCGTATAACGGCTTCGGTTCTCTGGAGGACTCGTTACAGAACTGTCTGTCTCTGGTTCCTGAACCGCCCAAGAAAGACGTGATCAAACTGCTGGAGAACTACCACAAAGTCCTGCGTTACGTCGCACGGCTGGTGAGAATGCACCTCATTTGCATAATCTTCAAACGGAGTATTGCGATAAAACAACGCAGACATCGTGAGCAAATTAACATTAGTTCTAAAGTGGTCTGGAATACTCAATTCTGATTGGTGATTTGCGGAATCAATCCGCTTCTCCTCAAACCGGTACTACTTTCATGAATTTCGTATTCCTTTTTTAAAAACCTGATTTTGCGCGGGCATTGCACTAGTATATATAAATACATTTAATCTCGTTCACTTGGTGATTGCTATCAGGATGCAAAGAGACTTTAAACCGACATAACAAAAAACAATTCTGAAACAAATCACATATCAGGAGTAATGTTGCTGCCGTGTTCGTCTTGTTGTTAGGCCAATAGATTTGTTTTGTTGGTAGAAGATTTAAGATAATATACAGGTAAAATGATCACATAAATCTTGCATCAATATTACATGTCGACAAATGTATTGATTTATTTAAGTAGCTTTCACTTGCATCAGGTCCTGTTCATCATGTCGAGGTTTCACGAAAATGACCGTATATCATTTCTTACATATCAATGTTATCATCCTCCTTAGGATTCCCAGAATCCCCTGGATGAGGGACGGCGCTTCGTTCTGTCTTACTACCTGTCTGATGACATGATCAGCATCTTTGAGAAATCCACACGTAATTCCGGCATCATCGGAGGAAAATTCCTAGAGAAGACTCGTGTCCCAAAACCAGGAAGCACGGTGGAAAACCCAGAATACTACGGACCAGCAGACTTCGCTATTGGAGCTACCGTGGAAGGTACAGATCAGAAGTCAAAGACTTCCTGGCCAAAACAATCACCTTTTTTTTCTTATGCTTATGTGTTCCTTCTGCTCTCCTCTGCAGTGTTTGGCCATCGGTTTGTGCTGACGGATGCTGATCGCTACGTGTCAAATTATCTGGAGTCACTTTCCCATCACATCCCTGAACACACACTGTCTTCACTGAGACAGAAGACCTCAGACGAGCAACGTGAAGGTAAAAAATATGTTTGGTTGTGGTTTCGCAACTACAAACTTTCGCTTACATCATTAACCAAATGCACTATTCACGAAGTTCACCCAAAAATGAAAATTTTGGCATTAATTACTCACCCTTACCAAGATTTTCGTTCATCTTCAGAACACAAATGAAGAGCTTCTACCACTTTGATACTTAAAAAAAGTTCGTAAAACGAATCCATGTGAATTGAGAGGTTCAGTCCAAATTTTCTGAAGAGACTCGATCGTTTTATATGATTAACAGATTTCATTTAGGCTTGTATTCACATTTAAGCATTCATCAAGTGGTAGACGGAAGCTCAAGCGTGTGTGAACCAATGAGGTTCATTCTTGCATGCTAAGCTTCAAGGGCCATTGAGGTTTGTCATCAGGCATATAAACCGCTCAATTCACATGGATTAGTTTTACGATCTCTTCATCAATCTTTTAAAGAGTCAAGTTGCATAGCTGTTAGAGGGACAGAAAGCTCTCAGTTGATTTCATCAAAAATATCTTCATTTGTGTTCTGAAGATGAACGCAAGTCTTTCGTGTTTGGAACAACATGAGGGTAATTGAGTTTCATAAGAAATCTTATTGAATGTTCTCTTCACAGCTGAGGCAGATGGAGCTCCAGACCTCCTCCAGAGCTGAAATCTGCTGAGCGGTTCTGTCCAGTATAATACTACCAATCCTCAAGACACCAACAGATATCATCTGTGAAAATTTGTGCTTTTGGATGTTGTGTTTTTTTATGGAAGCTTGTTTGACTTCATTTCTCAGAATTGCGTGAAATAATTGTGACATAAACTATTCTGAGGGGGAAAAAATCTGTCTTTTTTCCCCTTAAAATTGGCCTGATAAGATAACTCGTAATTGCGATTTAATATCTCACAATTCTGAGAAAAGATGTCAGAATCTCGATATATAAAGTCGCAATTGTGTTATAAAGTCAGAATTGCGAGATGTGAACTCGCAACTGTGAGAAAAAAGTCTCAATTCTGTCTTTTTTTTCTCGCAATTGCAACTTTATTTCTCAGAATTGTGACTTTATTTCTCGCAATTGTGAGATAAAAAGTCGCAATTTAAAACAAGCTTCCATTAGTTTTTCCATGTCTTGTGATGTAAACGTGCAATAAAGACAGAGCAAAACAAGCATGTGTAAAATTAGTGTTATTGGGGTAATGATCTTTTACATATGAACCTTGGACTTGGATTCATGAAAATCTTAATTACATTCTTTTTTAACACATGAATCATTCAGAATTATTCGGAAGACTTGAAATAATGCACAGGAACCATATCGGCTTCTTTTAAAGAGTAACTAAACACTAAACCAACTTTTTTTAGTTAATGATCTGTAAGAATGGATCTTTATTAATACCAGTCATTGATTCGAGTAACCTTTTTGACATTTGTTTATGAAGCGATCACGTCTTAGTGCTGCCCTCTTCAGGTTGAACGGTGGCTACTGCAGTTGAATTTTCCTATTGGATGTTCCGCACTTGGTGACGTACGCAGGTTTCAGCTCACCACGCGACCTACGCCCTTGGCAGTATAAAAACCATCTTGTGTCGTCAAAACCACTGTAGGGAGTCAGGAATTGGAATTGTGAGTATTGAAAACGATTAGGATAGAGTGTTTTAGCATCTATTTCGTCCCCTCTCCGCTGGGGTCAGCCCACTTTTTCAGCATTTTCAAATATTGCCAGTGGGTGGAGTCAGGCCCTGACCAGGGGTTTGGTTTAGTTAACCTTTATGTACTTTTTGAAGCTTGACATTGACAGTTCTTCTCATGAGGGTGAGTAAATGACAAAATCATGATTTGAGGTAAGTATTTCTTTCATAATGCTTTTGCAAAGCTACGAAACCCCATTTCTGCCACATAAGTAAAATCATGTTTTGATTACTTAGTTATGGCATAAAAATTCGAAATTTTGACATGCTAATTCATAAATGACTTCGTTTTAACATTGACATACTAAGTCAAAATTATGAATGAGTCATAATTACAAGTTTAAAAAAGTCGAAATTATGACATGCTAATTCACAAGTGACATACTATATCACAATGATGAGATACAAATTTAAACTTATTATGACATTACTGAGTCAAAATTATGAATACGTCAAAATATGATATTAAAAGTTGAAATTTTGACTTTCTCTGTTATATTTATGACTTTTTAAGTCCGAATTTCGACCTTTCATCTCAGAATTATGACTTAGTATGTCATAATTTAAAGTTTTTCTATATCTTATATATATATATATATATATATATATATATATATCATAATTATGATTTACAAAAGCATGTTTTTTTTCATGTGGCAGAAAGGGTTTCCATACAAAGGTGTTTGTTTGATACTTAGTTTGATTGATACTTAAAATGAATTATTCTGAAAGTTTTGCAAAACAGAAATCAAACAAAACTTAAAAGTATAATATTTTGTGTATGTCACATGTTTTCTTCTTTAGAATACACAGTTTTTGTATCCTTTGTAAGTAGGTTATCAGCTAAATACATTTGTTCATTATTCAGCACTGTCATGAGAATTGAATGAATAGATGTAAAAACTGTGACATGTCATTTAGAGACCATGTGATTTGCGAAATGCACACTTAAAGAGAGGAAAAGAGCGAGGCAGACAGAAGGGGTGGAGGAAGATATCAGGGTGGAGTTTGTCAAGTGATGTGTGAATGAAAAGGAAGGTTTCTACACATTCAGGAGAGAGAAACAGAGGTAGAGACCTTGACTGCAACCTCCTCTTACAGACAGCTGGAGAGAAACGCACACTGACTCATCTCACACCATCAAAGTAAGTCTACATTTGACTATTTGAACATCGTGTGAATCAGCTGAAGCTCCGTCTGAAGGAAACCTCTTCAGCTCAGATGTGTTGCGGTCACAGAACTCTGCTCTTTTATTGAGTTTCATTCTTACTGGTTTGAATTCCCACATCAAACTGACATGACATGTACCTGTCAAACGTTTGCTTTTGATCAGATCGGAAAAAAAGAAAAGTACAAATGTTTGCATTTCTTAGAGGACACAATATTGTCTCTAAAATCCTTAAGAAGAAATATATAGACACAAATGAGACATGACATACAGTACAGCTATAAAATAAATGTGGAGAGCAGCTGTTTTGATTGAGACATTATTGGAAAATCTCCATCTCCAATTCCCGTTCCTGTTCTCTCAAAGTTATGAACTTCAGTTATTCCAGTAACATTAATAGAATGTTTGTTCAAAGTTATCTTGTCCTTGATAATGTTCTTGAAATGTTCAAAATACATTACTTTTACATCATTCATGAAGCATTTTTTGTATGTTACTACTTGTTGCAGAATGTTCAGCGAACATTTAAAAGTAACGTTCCCATAATGTTTGGACTCTTTAAACGTTACAGACATTTCCATAACTTAATGGTAAAGTTAGCAAAGCGTTCTTGGAATATATTTTTGTTAGCTTGGTCATTTGAGTTTTGTCTTTTCAATGGCTCATTTTCTTAAGTGTTCGATCACAATCACTTAATCAATTGACTATACTGGCAATTGGTTTGTTAGTTACCGTAGCAATAACTAACATTTTGTAGACTTACATTTACATTATACATTATACATATATTCATACATTATATACAACTTACATTATAATGAAGTCAAATGAGTGAATTCAAATACTATCTTTATATATATATATATATATATATATATATATATATATTAATGTATGTAATTTTTGCCACGGACTGCATGAGAAATACAGAAAAAAAATCGTTTGAAATTACTGCACTGATCATTATGTGTACCTTTTTTCTCTCTGTCTGTCTGTCATACACAGGTATAATCTCAACTCGGTTTTATTATGCCATCAAAAACACTCCCCACCACAGCAGATGAGAGCATCGCTGTGCAAACTGAGGAGAGCGTGGATGTGACACGCAGATGTCATGTTAAAGATCAATGTGAGAAGGACTTTGATGTGTGGAAGGAATCCAGAGCTTGGACAGCATTACCCAGAAACCTCAGATTTACACATCACAATCAGGTACACACACATATACAGTACATACACTGCATGACTACAAAGATAAATTTGCCATTTAACCAATAGGTGGGGCTATTATTATGGTGTGGTCAGTTTGAGGTGACGATGACATGTCAATATGTCAAACCATTGCAGAGTTACAGCCTCAGAATTTGCTGGGCGCCAAGTCATCATATTTGTTGATGCGTTATTAGAAAATGGTTGGGTCTATCAAAAAGCTTTTAATAACTTTTTGCAGGTATAGGCTGAAGATGATCTGAGCCGAGTTTGGTAAAAAAAAATAAAAAAAATTGCACCAATTCGTCTAGGAGGAGTTTGAAAAAGTTGGTTTTTAAAGAAATCATGGTGTTTATGACACATAAAATACAGCATTTTATGATAAAATTTGAAATGCCCAATGCCCAAAGTGGTCAACAAGGCAACATTTGGTATCATTCGCTTCACGCTCTCAAAAGAGACCAGTTTTTTGGGGGGCAAAGTAAACTATTCGTAAGTTATATTAAAAAAATATTTATGATCAGTAGGTGGCGCTGTGCCAAAACACTGAAAAATTGCTTCAAGTCATGCTTGAAATTACAAGTACCAAGTTTACTCCAAATCATCGCGGAGATACAGCCTCATTTGGCATGCTCTTGTTCAAAATCGTCGCGCGTTATTCGAGAACGGTTTGGTTTTTGGAAAATCTTTGAATGTTTTTTTTTTGTCGCCATCATAGTCTGAAGATGATCCGAGCCAATTTCGGTGAAACTTTTCATGACCAAAAATGACGTCCTAGGGTGAATCAAGGAGTTATTAACATTAACGTCAGTTAATTTTATAATATTAACATAATACTGAAGTTATTAACATTAACGTCAGTGTAAATTTGGACAGTTGTGGCACATGATGTGATTCAGATGGACGACTGGCGAGTTAGACAGTTAGTGCTCTGGGCTGTGTCCTAAATCGCCTCCTATACCCTTAAATAAAGCACTATATGAGGGGACAGTCATTAGTAATGGTGTCCGAAACCATAGTTGAAATTATAAAGTGCACTCATTCAATCCCATAATGCACCACAATTGTAGGCTGATGTACGCTCAACCAACCCGATCTCACGGGAATTCGTACGAATTTTACGAGGTGGCTAATTCGTAACAATTTGTACGACCTCACTCGTACGAATTAGTACGATTTAGCTAATTCGTACATATTTTACGAATTAGCAAATTCGTATGAATTCGAGATGGTCCTCACTGCGGAACATGAAATCCATGGGGAGGAGTCGGATCCAGATCCAACTCCTCCCACCTTACATACACCTAAACCTAACCAACTCCGCCCCCTGATCCCTAAACCCAACCCTAATCCTACCCATCTCCACCCCTTGGATCGTGATCCGACTCCTCCCCGTGGATCTCATGTTCTGCATTGAGGTGCTACTGATGAATTCGTACGAATGACCTACCCCTGACCCCGCCCCTAAACATAACCGTCACGTGGGTTTAGACAAATCGTACGAATTTGTATGAATCGTCGTATGAATTAGTACGAATTAGCCACTTTTGAATCATTCGTACGAATTCGTACGAATTGGTCGTTTCAACATGATTTTCCCACAAATGGTTCTATGGGCTGCCATAGACTTCAAGAGAGTAAGAAGAAGGAAACATTTTCATGCTTGGATTATTTAGATTAACTTGATGTAGTAAAATAACTAATAATATTAAAAAAAATTGCAAAAAACACAACTCAAAATGTAGCAAGAATAATAAAGCAATACATAATGTGATGAACTCTGCTATGGACCTGAGGAGAACTGCTGATTTCCACTAAACTCACTAAAACACACTTGACATTTAAATGATCTTGCACAAATATGCTCTTTATTTCAAAGTATTCACTGTCGGGGAATTTACTGTTAAGACCCGATTAGGACCAGATATGATGAATGAAGACCAGAAGTCAGAGATGCAATCAATTAAAGGAAATTTGACTGAAGAATAGTTTGCAGAAGTTAGCTTCACACTCAGCAAGGAGTTCGGCCGCTCTGCGTACACACTTATGACAGCAGCAATTATACTCGAGTCTCACACAGGTCACTAAACTGCGACGTCACGTCAGGTTTTGATTGGTTAAGGCATAGATAAACAAAGTGACCAATAGATGTCACTTTGAGAAATCTGAGTTCCTATGCTCTAGTTTGTTTGTCAGCTGTTCATTTCATCTCCCCTGTGTGCCAGATGCTCACCTCACGATCAAAGGATACTGACACACACACGCACGCAGATGCTTCCTCAATCAGGAAACTTTCCCCAAACATACTGATGTACTTTCTCTCAGTAAGAGGTTCAGACAATATTTGTCATTATTCTCTTGTGATTGGAGATGAAAAGTCGAGTAAATGCGTTGACTGTGAATTGGTCACGTAGGAGACATAACAAAGGCTGCTAGAAAAATAAATATGTTTTAACATGAGTTGGTGCTTCTCTCAAAAACAAGGAGCATGTTCAGTGAACAGACATCACTAAATCTCATAAGCTTGAAGACTTCAGTCAAATCATTTAATATTTAGAAGGATAATTATTAACTTAATTGCAAACCATTCAAGCGGATATATGTTGAAGCGGCATAACAAAGCAACGTTTTTACAAAGATTTACAAGGCACTGTAATCGTGTGAGTAGTCATCTGTGGCCTGGGCTTAATTTTATTGGTTTTTCTGCAAATAGTTTTTATGTAATGCATTTGTGATTTTCTGCTATTGTGTTGTTAGAAGGTGCTGGGTGTTTTCACCAGAGAGCTCATTCCTTTAGGGACCCGGTTCGGCCCGTTACAGGGAGAACATCTCCACCCTGAAGACATATCTGCAAACATCAACCGGAAACATATCTGGATGGTACGTCAACAGATGTGCAAGCAAGAAAGATAAGAAGTGTGTGTGTTTTTGTGAGATCGAAAACCATTCTGAGTCATTCAGGTTCATATTTACAAGTCATGTTTCAGGGGTGTGTGTTCTCATGTTGGGTTTCTCTGACGCACTGCTCCTCGCTTACATGTGCCAGTAAAGCTACACACTCGTACCTCACACACTGACTCAGCAAGGAAGTGGCTGACAGGAGCTCGCGCACACACACACACAAACCGAGAACAAGGTTCCAAGAAAACCTTAATAGATCATTTTCACACTTCGGAAATTAAGTCAATATTTTTGATGCTTAAATTTATTTCCTCAGAAATTAATAGGGCAAAATTATCCATATAAATATAAAACATATATATGAAGAGTTCAGATGCAAAAGCCTCTAAATGCCATTTGAAATTTTCTTCTTTAATAATGATTTTTATCAAACTTGTATATTTAAGTTCAGTCATTTCACTTAAATAACAACACTGAACTTAAATATACAAGCTTGATAAAAATGATCATTCTAGAAGAAAATTTCAAATGGCACTTAGAGGCTTTTGCATCTGAACTCTTCATATATATAAATATATATATATATTATATTTGAATCGATGAATCGATATTATGATTTGACTGTATAGGCGATATGCAATGCATAATAAACACTACTGTTTAAAAGTTTGGGAATTAAAGATATGAATACTGATTAAATTAAGAGTCAGACAGTAAAGACATTTATAATGTCACAAAAGATTTCAAATCATTTCAAACAAATGCTGTTCTTTTAAACTTTCTATTAATGAAAAAATTAGGTTTCCACAAAAACATGAAGCAGCACAACTTGATAATAATTAAAAATATTTTTTGAGCAACAAATAATCATATTCTAATGATTTCTGAAGGATCATGTGACACTGAAGATGGAAAATTCAGAAATGTATCATAGGAATAAATTAATATAAAAATAGAACTTGTAATAATATTTCATACTGTAATATCACTCTTTTTACTGTATTTTTGATCAGTTAAATGCAGCCTTTGTGAGCAGAAGAGACATTTGAATTAATGATTATATGTAGATTAAATAGTAGTTGACATTGAATGAAATACAATAGCAAAAATACAGCCATATAAATTGAAAATTGAATCTAGAGGGCTAAATATCTCTCTAAATGGAAAGGAATTAGTTCTCTCTAAATGACTACATAGCATGCAAAGTAAGTGTGCAAGTCTAATCTCTTAAGTTCAATATTATACAGGATGAACTAAACTGAAAAAAGAAAGAGAGAAAGAGAAAGACCGAGAGAGAGAAACAGGTGTCAGCGGGTCAAACAGACGGGCTGTTCAACCAGCAGCTAACAGACTGAATCAACAACTAAACCACAACCTCTCACTTTCACACAGTCGCTCGCACAAATAGATGTGCACTTTAAATCTGAGAGCAAAAGCCTAATGTGACGCGGTTTCGTTTCCTAAACCCCTCAGAATGATTATTAGTGGTGTTTGCAACTTTGCATATGCATCTATTACTAATGCTCATACCAACATAAAAATGTTGCAAACGTGCAAAATAAAAAGATGTTGGATGCATGCTGGATGGATGATAAAAGTTGCATTGAAGAGGTTAACTTGATACTTTAATGCATAATTAGTAATATTCTGTTAAATGCAAATTTTTTTTTTCCTTGCTAAGATCTTCTCGGAGGGCCGTTTACATCACTTCCTGTCTTGTGAGGATGAGAGCGACAGCAATTGGATGTGCTTTGTAAATTCTGCCCCGTCTCCATGGCAACAGAATCTTGCCGGATTCCAAATTGGAATGCAGGTTTACTTCTATGCAGTGAAGGATCTAATGCCGGGGGAGGAGCTACTAGTGGGGCGGAGCTTAGAATACAAGCGGCCAATGAGCACCAGCCTCAGAACACCCTGTCTGAAGCAGCCGCCTCCAACAGACCGTGAGTGACAGCCACGACCAATTTCACGCTATTCTGATGGTCAAGAGTACTATACAAACACATTGAATAAATGTGTTTTATTTTATTAATAACTTATTGTGCTGTTTAATGGGATTGCAGCCTTAAATTGAACTTCATTTCATTGGAAAAAACTGCTTCCCCACTGTTGTGATGGCTATGTATGTAACTTTCTTGTTAAATATGTTATATAAGTATTTTTATTTTATTTAAATCAAAGATCAAGTGAGGAAGAGAAAGAGAGGTTATACCGTCACTGAGATCCTGGATCTGAATCCCTGGAATGATCATCATCACATTCAAACACAATCGAAATATGGGGAAAAAGTGACCAGACACCTGCAGAATCCTAAATCACCTCCATCTTTGATGACTAATAGCATCTCTGACATTCGAGGACATGTATACACCCCTGCTATCCCACAATCCTCTATGCCTAGGTATATATGGCCTATTATTCAATATGTGCCTTCACATCAGCCAATGGGCTTTGGCCGAACAACAGCACACATGTCAAATAATATTCCCCTTCCACCAATCCACATGTATCCATCTCTTTTGAGTCAAATATCCAAAGAGAATCACCCTTCATTAGCGCTGACCAATAGAGGCGACCTCAAAATTGATGTGAGAGACTCTACAATGAGAGAGACAAAACCTAAAGACTTAACAAAGATGTCACGTGACCAACCACCAACACTCAGCAATGCAACCGATCCCTCCGAGATGTGTGTGGCTTCCTCCTCCTCCTCCGTCACACACGCCACCACAGAGTCTCAGAAGAGGCAGACCGCAGGGTACAAGGCTTTACCGTATCCACTGCAGAGACAGAACGGAAAGATCCAGTATGAATGTAACGTGTGCGGGAAGAACTTCAGTCAACTGTCAAACCTGAAGGTACGTGGATTATTGTCTTGTGTGTGTGGTTCAATAAACGATGTCTGAGATGTCCCTAATGGTGATGGAATAAAATATGAGATGGGAAGAAAAATTCCCCTGTGAAACTTTGTAAAACTTTTGAGTTTTTTTGTGAGCGAGCAGAAAGTTTCTCAGGGGAAGGCAACATTTTTGTGCAAGAAATTAAAATAAATTGAAATAATAAAAAAAATTCTCCCATCTCATATTTTGGAATATATATATATACTGTGGTATATTCTGTTCACCATTTATTTGATCAAAACTATACAGTAAAAACAGGAATATTGTTAAATATTATTACAATTTGAAATAACTGTTTTCTATTTTTATTATATTTGAAAATGTGATTTATTCCTGTGATCAAAGCTGAATTTTCAGCATCATTACTCCAGTCTTCAGTGTCACATGATCCTTCAGAAATCATTCTAATATGATGATTTGCTGCACAAGAGACATTTATTATTATTATCAATGTTGAAAACAGTTGTGCTGCTTCAAATTTTATGTGTAAACTGTAATAGCTTTTTTCAGGATTTTTGATAAACAAAAAGTTCCAAATAATAGCATTTATTTGAAATATAATTTTACTGTCAGTTTTGATTAATTTAATTAACACAGTCTCATCCCAAGTCGTCATATAACTGACGTCTTGGGATGTCTTTTGACCATACGTCAACATCCGCCTTTTTAGGGTACCCTTAAAAGTCGGTTAGTTGACGATCCCGGGCCGTCATACAACTGACGCTTTACCTTTAACGTCGTTTAGGTGAGGTTTGGACACCCATGCTAAAGTTGCCTAAAAAGAGGAATAAAAAATAATCTTTTGGATATTGATCTTAATGCCTTAATTAGAAAAATGAGGAAAACTCCAACCTTTAAGGACACAAATTTTCTTTGTAAATAAATTATGTATCATAAATAAATAAATGTTTTTCCTTAAAATACAGGGTGCATAAGTCAGGGCACCCCTATGTTAAATTCCCATAGAGTCAGGCAGATTTTTATTTTATGAGGCCAGTTATTTCATGGATCCAGGATAATATGCATCCTGATAAAGTTCCCTTGGCCTTTGGGATTAAAATATCCCCACATCATCAGACACCTAGAGATTGGCATGGTTTTACTACAGTTAGCCTAACAGCTGGTTTGATTTGCATTGAAAGATGATCTTATGGAAAGTACCCCATGCCGATCTCTAGGTGTGGTGGAAGGTGTGTGATGATGTGGGGATATTTTAATCCCAAAGGCCAAGGGAACTTTATCAGGATGCATATTATCCTGGATCCATGAAATAACTGGCTTTTAAAAATAAAAATCTTCCTGACTCTATGGGAATTTAACATAGGGGTGTCCTGACTTATGCACCCTGTATTTTAAGGAAAAACATTATTCATTCACAAAGAAAAATTGTGTCCTTAAAGGTTGGAGTTTTCCACATTTTTCTAATTAAGGCATTAAGATCAACATCCAAAAGATGATTTTTTATTCCTCTTTTTAGGCAACTTTAGCATGGGTGTCCAAACTTATTCACATCACTGTGTATATATATATATATATATATATATATATATATATATATACATATATATATAAATTACTGTATTTAATATTTCTTTGTGTTTTTTACTAAATGTCCAGGTGCACTTGAGGGTTCACAGTGGCGAGAAGCCGTACAGGTGTGAAATCTGCAGAAGGAATTTCACCCAGCTGGCTCACCTTCAGAAGCACATCCAGGTTCACACGGGAGAGAAACCGCACGGATGCCATGTAAGGACACACAGAGATCATATCATTGCTTTCCAGGGCCCTGTTTACTGTACACCTCGTATTATGATGCTTTTTGGATGATCTGATCACAAATATATATCACTAAATACAGGTGTAAACAGGGTCACACAAATTTGAGCTTGTCCACTTTTGACCACTTGACTTCCATGTGGGCTAGTTTGTACAAAACACCGTCTGCTCTCCACCTTCTGACCTGATGCGGACAAATTATAGGAAGGGATTTAAACTTTGTTGGCTGGAGACCCAAATTTGGTTTGAAGATGAAAAACATACCAATCTCAATGTTCTCTCACCCACCACTTACAGTGTTCGGCTGGTCTTGTGGTTCTCAGAACAGAAACTAAAGCTGATGCTCCGTGTGTGTTTTTCTGTTTTCTCCGGTCGTGTTCATATATAAATTGCGTCTAGTTATTTTAATTGTATTATTTTGATCGAAAGATTTGACAAAGCCCATAAATGTACCCTCCCCTCGAAGAAATCAGGACAGAAGTGTTTGAAAGTGGACAAGAGACGGGTTAAAACACCAGGTGTAAACGGGAACGTCTACTTGTGATCCGATCGACCGAAACGCATCTTAATACCAGAGAGACAAAGGATGTCATTTTCTGTGTCTCGTGTGCAGGTGTGTAACAGGCGTTTCAGCAGCTGCAGTAACCTGAAGACTCACCTGCGCCTGCACTCGGGGGAGCGCCCGTACGTGTGTAAGCAGTGTCCCGCCACCTTCACCCAGCACATCCACCTGCGCCTCCACAGACGCCTGCACGCCACCCCACGCTCACACCAGTGCCCGCAGTGCCCTCGCAGGTACACACACCTGTGCAGCCTACAGATCCACCGCCAGCAGTTCTGCCCCGCCTCCAGCGGCACAGGCTCAGCCTCTCAGCTGGACTCAGCCAATGACGAGATCGAGAGGTTTGACCTCAGCGAAGGTGCGGAGAGCCTTGAGGTCGATATGGAGGCGGAGTCTATAAAGAGGATGTGCCGGGTGATCTGGACTCAGGTGCTTGCTGGGAGGGAGTAGAACAGGTCCACGTAAATATGGAAGCATATGGGCAATGTTCAATTTGAAATGTAATATGCAAAATGACAATGCAATATGTAAAATGGCGTATTTATATTTACATTTTACATTACCATTTTTGTGCAAAGTGAAAATTAAATGACATAATTTACATTTGCCGTTTCATACACTAGTTTTAATATGCATATTGAAACGCTCAATGTGCACGTTGAATTTTGCTAGATTCATTGCGGGACATTTCATGAAAATGCAATCGCAAGTGTCTTGACTGTGTAAATGCAATTAAGAAAAATAACATTTGAATGATCATTTTGCCACAGTTTTTGCTCATTTCTGTAATGCATTTTCATTTTAATTTTGCCACTTATAAAGCGTTTCAATATGCATATCAAAACTACTGAAATGGCAAATTTAAATTATGTAATTTAAATTTCATTTTGCACCAAATGTTGCTAGAATGGCAATGTAACATGTAAATTTAAATCTAGAATGCAATGCCATTTTACATATTGCATTGTCATTTTGCATTTTACATTTCAAATTGAATATTGCTACCCATATGCTTCCATACATAAAACAACAATGAATTGTCCATGCAACCCTCTTTTCTCTATAAGTTTTCAACGGTGATATTTGTAAGAGATGCTGATTTCCTGTTTTATAGTTTTATATATGTGTTTCATTTATATTCGATACATTTTTAGCTGTTTTTGTTTGTAAAATGATTCTGTTAATTATATTTAAATATATGTTGAGCTGAATTTTGAGCATCATTACTCCAGTCTTCTGTGTCACATGATCCAGAAATCATTATCAATGTTGAAAACAGTCGTGCTGCTTAATATTTGTGATGCATCTTTTCAGAATAAATAGAAAGTTCAAAAGAACAGCATTCATTTGAATCAGAAATCTATGTATAAATGTCATTACTATTGCTTTTGGTCAATTTAATTACATTAATTTCTGAGCCTAAGCGTTTGAATGGTAGTGTATATGATTATCATTCAATATTATACACTTTATTACATGTTGTATATTTGAATAATGTCTGGGTTTAAGTTTAATTTTTATAAGTTTAATTTAAACTTTTTTAAGTTTAATAGATTTTTTAAATCTAAAAGTCCAAAATGGTCATATTTTTGTAATATCAAGTGAACTCAATAAAACCATGCTTTCAGACAAGAGTTGATAATGGTATATTTTAATGGTACCATTCTCATGGCAAAATTCTTGTCATGTTGGAGAAAGCTGGTACGTGTTTTATATGTTGTAAATATGTATAATTTATTAGTGCGATATCTGTTACCCAAAACAGTGGTTTAATAGCCTATTTGTATGTTGTCTTTTCAATTTGTGCTATGATTTTCTTTTATGCTTTGCTATTTAAACAACCATTAAATAGACTATATATTTTAAATACATGTGTCACGTTTTTCTTTTTAAGGTGTGTGTGTGTGTGTGTGTGTGTCCAGCGGATATCATGTTTCTCTTGTGTTGTCCAACAATCCAGGTCACAGTTACACCTACACACAGACACACGTAACCATAGGTAGGACTACACAGAATGTCACATAATTGCTGAAATATACTAAAATAAGATAATTATTTATACAACAACATGAATGTTTTAGCGGATGCGCGTCACTGTCTCTTTAATGGTCCAGAAGCGTGACGTCAGATATTTTGACAGGACGACGGAGAGGAGAAACCGGATCCGCCGCTGACAACAACAACAAACACAAAGATGTGTCGAGCAACGCCGCGTCCCGGTCGCTGAGATGCCGGTAACGGAGCGGAGAGGACGCGACGCGTGGTCGAGCTGCTGGCGCGTGCTTCTGCTCGCTGCGTCCGCGCTCGTGCTGCTGGCGGAGAGAGCGGCGCGTGAGTGACCTTACACCGCATCACAGGAGCATCTAATGCACCCTATATATAGCCTATAAATCACATTATAACGAACGTTACCGTATCCATTTACCAAGGTATTTACATACTACTCCAAGATCATTCAAAGAATACCATGGCACTATTATTACATGTCCAAAATCCATAGTACGCCCAGAAATACGGTATTACTTACTACATGTCTGAAATACCATGTAACCATGAAACCTGTTCAGAAACATGTAAAACCATGGTATTTTTGGTACCCTTTTTATTTTTTGTGTATATTTGGAAGTACCTTGGAGCACCATGTAATACTGACACATATATTTTGTCTCTCTCTCTCTCTCACACACACACTTCATCTTTCTTGCTTGAGCATCTGTTGATGTACCATCCAGAAACCTGTGTGTGTGTTTACGATATTCTATATAATATATATATATAGTAGTAAATATAGAATCATATATATATATATATATAGCCAGTATTAAAGACAATATGAAATAATTATATTGATATAATATTTACTTTGAATCATGTTGAAAATATATCTGTAAGAGTATTGTTATAATACATGTACTTTCAGTATATGTATTTATATAATACTGGACAGAAACTTTTAATTAACAAATTCAAATGTATCTGAAGGGGCAATTTTCTAAATAATTATTGTTCAGATGCAGCATTGCATCTCCTGATCCATCAATGACAGATTACTGAATAATTACAGTTTAAACTGGATTTACAGTGATATTATCTCATCCCATTTCACTGCTCTTTTGTTCTAGATAATCTCATATGATTCAAAAGCATATTGAAGTGCACAGATGTAGATGTTCTCTGTGTTGTTCCTCAGTGATCTGCTGTGTGGGCTTCTACCTGTGGCAGGACGAGCTGAGCTTGGCCGCTCTGACCTTTGCCCTCTTGTTACCGGGGTCAATGGTGCAGGTGTTGAGTTTCAGATGGTACAGGGCCGACGGAGACAAGCGCACAGGCCACAATTTCATCATACACACTCTTCACCTGGGCATCTTCAAAAGGTGTGCTTCTAAAGGAATAATATCTTCAAAAATTACAATTGAGTTCATTTGGGGCTTCCCAAACCCTTATTTTTTCGTCAGCCGAACCATGAACCGAACCAACTCGAGCTCAATAGCGACACTATTGCCTTCTGTAGAGCTGCCTATAGCTGAATTGATCTCGTTTTATAATTGATGAACTTGTACACCGTTATTGAACTGAACTAAATCAACACTTAACGGACTCAATTAGAATTTGTCTCATATTTGATGAATTTTACCTTCCTGTTAATACTGTGAAGCTGCTTTGAAACAATGTCTATAAGTAAAGCTGACTTGATGTGTGTTGTGTGTCAGATTTTGGGATTGCAGTGTGTGTGAATGGACCGCTCAGGGCTCGTCGCAGTCGCATGCGAAGGAAGTGATGCGGCAGGCGGATGTGTCTGCGTTGCGTCTGCTGGAGGTCTTGCTGATGACGTTACCTCAGACGCTCCTGCAGATGTACGCTCTCAGCGTTACCGGCTACGGCCTCTCGTCTCCAGGTCAGTCCTTCCAAACGTAATTTGCGGGTGGGACTACATGTTCCCACCAGGGTCGATATTGTCCCCACCACTTTTTGAAACATCTCGCGGCACGGATGTACCTAATATAAATAAATAAAACAACTAGCAGAGCATTCATTTCGTCCGTTTGTTAAAAAAGAGGCGATCTAACGCTGAAACGTGGTTTTTTAAATCAAGCAGAGTGTTCGTTGCGCGGATACATTGTTCTCTATCAGTCTTTACAATCTATCGCTAACACCGTTGAGGAGACTCGATTCGCTCCGGTGAAATCTTGCACACACTGATATACAAGCACTGATGTACATATTCGCAGTGTTGGGGAAGCTACTCTGAAACTGTAGTTTGACAAGCTACAAGCTACTCGTACGTTAAAGTAGTTAAACTACAGTCAAGCTACCCTTTTGGAAAAGTAGTTAGCTACACTACAAGTTACTATCAAAAAGTAGCTAGCTACATTGAAACTACTTTTACTTTTTGAACAACATATTATAAATATTATATTACCTATTATTATAAGATGTTATAAATCATATATTATAAATAACTGAATAAGTGTCTGATGAATGTTTTAATTCAAATATTTAGTGTTTAAAACAATGCAATACAATTATGATTTCATAGAGTATTGTTTTATTACACACAACACTCAAATATCTCAGACTGTTTGTCAAAAGTTCAAAATTGCAACAAATAGCCTACAACATTGCAAGAACAAAATATACATTCAACATAAATGGCATTTAGAACATTTTCTCAAAAATAACGATTGAACTTGGACAAATAAGACCATGGGTAATTAACGCTTGTTTCTCTGTCCTCAAAATCTGCCGTCACCCTAATATGGGTGTGTCAATGTCAACCCACTTCTTTACGTCAGTGAACCGTTAGCCGCAAGATGCGTGATTAAACAACAGGTGGCGGTAATGGCAAAAAATGAGTTTGTAATCTAACGAGAAGAAGAATATCCTTGCATCGGGCTGATTCACGCAGGCTCGACAATGTAGCAATGTAGCTTTTGCTCGCGCTACACCGCTACTTGCTGCAAAAAGTAGTTAGCTACTGGAAAAGCTACACTGTTTAAAAAGCAACTGAGCTACTGCCAAGCTACTGAAAAATGTAGTTAAGTTAGTAGCTTCGCTACTTGTAGTTAACTACTCCCCAACAATTCGGTTTTGATATTTATTCGCGTGAAAATTATCGGCACTAACAGTATATAGTCATAGATGTTATGCGTGTCTTTGTCTCCTCAGGTGAGAACCACCTATATATACATGATGGGGTTGGGCCGTTCACGTCCATTCGCATATTGCCTTGCCAAACAAAAAATATTTTTCACAATATAACCCAATTCACAGTTTTATGTGAACGATTAGGCAGGATGATTTTCAGATCATTGTGAAGAAAAAACTCTAGGCCACAACATCCATTAGGCCGTGTGTCCACCAAAGCGTTTTTAGCCAGCTGAAAACGCTAGACGCTCTGCTTTGGGCGCTTGAGAGCGTTTTGGCAGCACAGCATTTTTTCCGTTGCTATGATACAGAATATCCGCAGCAGTTTGAATGTTGTGACAGTTGGTCAGTGTGGTTTAGTCCCGCCCCTCCTCCA